GAAATTTCATTAGACTGATTTCATCTCTCATGGGAAACATAGTATGAGCTTAACTTAGAAAACTATATTTCAAGAACTATGAAAGGCTTTAAGTAATCAGTAGATCTGAGGAGCATGTGAAACAAGTAGGGATATTCTATGATTAGTTTGAGAAAATAAATTCCATCAAATTGGAAGGCACTCTCTGCACTGGCATCTACATATTGTTCAGAAAAAAAACCCACTTATTCATGTAAAACTCCTAAGCACTTTATATTTTAAAAAAAGACTAAACCTTGACCCTTTATTTGTTTAAGATAACTAAAATCCTTGTAAGTGTTAGATGTGGGATAAAGAACTGTGGTTTCAGAGATATCATACAATGCACTGTCAGGAAAAGGCGTGGAGAGCTTGCATACGAAATTTCCTGAAAACTATGTTTACAAGAAATTTGCTTTGTTGTAAAGCTTCTAAATCCATTCCATTTCTTAACACTTCTATMTTACATTTGAATTTCTGTTCATTGCGTAATACACATCTTCCTATAGTTTTGCTATAGCATAATATAGTACATATTTTCACTCAAACGTATCTCTTCTAGATACATTATAGAACTTAAGTTGACGTGAAAATTTGCCTTGTCTGTCATAAATGCAAAAATAACATCTGTGAATTGTTRTAACATCTGTTTTTACACTGACCTCTGTGACAGGAAATAGACGACAAGTGACCCAATAAGGCTGGTGATAAAAAATATAAATAACATCCTTGCTTTCTTGCTATTGKGTTAGATTCTCTGCAGACCTGAGTCCTGGATGGTCTGTGTCATAGTACAACTGGTACAGTCCCACTGCAGAAAGAGATAGGAGCAATTCTATCTTAAGATTTGCTCCTTTTTCTTTCTGTTATTATTGCTGTTATAGTATTCTGCTTCTTGTTTCATAGTGAAAAAATTCAATGGAAAAAAGTATAAAAGGTTATGTATTGGCTGTTACAGCAAAATAGTTTCTTTAAAATACTATTTGATGCATTTAAACATAAAAGAAAATCATATTGTTCTCATAACATAAAGTAAATGAGCAAGCAGCAAGTTAAAGCAATGTTGCAAGAGAAAACTGAATCAGGATTTAAATAAAATATTTTAAGAAGCTGACTCAATGGAAATAGAAATTGCACAGGATATGATAAAAGAGTAAAAGCATCTTCTGTAAAAATTTAAATGTTATTTCATAGACGAGTCCTTCTGCACGAAATTAAAATGGCACTCATAAAAGAGGGGTTGGTGGCAGATTTATAACAGTAAATAATGCCATAGAAACTCATCTCTTCCAGCCCTGAGATCATCACACAGGTCAAATGAATATGAAGTTACAAAGAATTTTATTTTTGTGATACAGACAGTTTTAATCATGATAAGTTTTGAGGAGGAAGTGCCCTAGAAAATGTGGAAAAGAAAAATAGTATGACGAAGGAGGTGAGATACTATTAAAGAGGAAAATCAGGCTATTTTATTTTAGTTAGGATACCCAACGTATATTAATATAGGTTCATGAACACTCTATGATAGACAAAGAAGACATAAAAGATGCTGGCAGAGAATAAATTTAATTCAAAACATGAGGGGCAGTCTCCATAATGTTTCCTACTAACTTTAATTAAACAAGTACAAGCTGCAAAATAATTTTTTATGAAGATCCCTTTCTACAGTAAAAAGGTTTTTTGGCACATTTGTACCACTGGTTAACATAGATGGAGCAGGAACATGGGCATTCTCCAAGAATATCAAGTATCAGCTAAAAGCTGAGCTGTAAAACATGAAAAGATTTATGCATGCAGTATTGTTGGAGCAATACCAAATCCTGCAAGGTCTTAGTTCTGATACATCAAAACAGAGCCCTTGAGTGTCTCAGACATAATAAAAATAAGACTACAGCCCTACTAGTTCTGCCAAGTGAGTTCTAGCATGGACCTGGAATCAGATAGGAAAAAATGGAGACTATGAATATGAACAACATATCACTCAAGGTGAAGGACATCTTGGAGACCAAGCATAAGCAACTGTAAGAAATATATATATATATATATATATAAAAATATCACTATATATAAAAATATCACTAATCTACAGTACAATATAAACCCTCCAAGATGAACATACAGGCTTTCCATGACAAGATTTAACTTACAAACTATAGCAGCAAGCTTTGTAGGGTTTTGTCAGCAGTACAGAACTGCTGGTCACAGCAGCGACCATCCCGTTGTCTCTATTGCAGCTATTGATGCTGCCACGCTGTTCCCTTCATAGCAGTATCAAACATGCTGCTGGCTACTTGGAGTCACAGCCTTCCATTCCTCACTGTGTGCTGCGGGTTAGAGATCCCTTAYCTAACAAATCAAACCATATCCTCAAAAAAGTATGGAAAAACAGTTTCCATGGGAAATGAGTCCCCTGTACACGGTAGTCATACTATTTAGAAGACTATCTGCCTTTGAAACTTTCAGARGCTTTGGGTCCCTGTTCTCACATCCCCTCATCTTTAGAATATAAAGCATTTCCACTGTTTTCTGCAGGAAAAATTCTTGATGAAAGGGAGAAGAATTGGGATTTCAGGATCTCTGAAATTTTAAAATGTTGTTGTCTTTGAAGAGTCCACTCCTATCAAAGCATTTAAATTAATTTTTAATCGCAAATATTTCCACGAGATTCCACAGAACTGCTTGTGTTCTTATTATGCAGATTCTGGAATACTTTGCTGGAATCAGCAGAGTTCAAAAAGGCAAATCATTCACAACTTAATAACACTWAAAAAAAAGGATTCCTCATCAATATGTTATTTTAGAACAGCATAAAAGAATACATAAAACAGTGATTCTTGAAATTAATTTCACATGTTTATTTTATCCATCATTATAGGTAACAATTATCTGTTCTATCTGCTGAAACTAGCAATACTAATTAGGCAGATATTGAAATTACCCAACATCTTAATCACTTTTGGGCCTTAGCATATCTCATCTGGAGAAGCCTGCTTAATAATATATATGCATTCATTACTAATAGCATATGAAATGCTATTAGTCTGCTATGTATTTTACTTTTCTTTGGGCATCTTTTAGCATGTAGGAAATGCTAAATCGGTCCAGGGATTTATCTATTACAGTATCTTCATTTTGACATTACCTGATACAAGATGCAAAGGACATTACCACAAAAAAAATAATAATGCCAAGAATACTTCCAAAGAAATTAGGAATAATCATATCCCAAGAGAGTTTCTTTTTTATGTAAAGAAGATTTATTTATATCACATATATACCGGTATATATCATAGAAGGAGAACGTACATTCTCCATCTACATACCAAATATCATATAGTTCAAAGATTTATGTTAGTCCATGGGCTACACTTAGTTAAATACAGCAAAACAAAGAGAATACAGAGATTTATTTCTAAAAAAACAATATGTGGAATTAGTGTCCTTTCTGAACCTGAGATAAAGCTAGCAGTAGTAATACAATTGCACACTTCAAAACACTGGCTTTTCTAAAATCTCAGTTGTTTTTTGCTTTAATACAACTTTGACTTGCTTTAATCTTAAGAACATTTTTAAATGGGGAAAAAAAGTGTGTTTAGTCTCTTAATCAGCAATAATAGAGCTAAAATCTCCATTATACACAACTTTTTAATGTGCTTAATTTCATTGCCACTGCCCCACTGTGGTAATTAAATATGTTTTCAAATGTGTAAAGTCAAGCATGTGCATAAATTATTGCAAGATCAGAACACTTACTCTTAAAACCAGCTTTTAAATTGTGCACTTCCACAGAGCCTACAAGTAAAAGAGTACCCAGCATATTCTCATAAAACGAGTTCAAAAGGACTTGAAAAATGTATTTAAGTATTGTATGATGATTAGCAGCTGTAGTTTACTAGTCTCAGAAGAGCTGACAAAAAAAAATCCACCAATTATTCCCTATATTCTTAGCTCCAACTTAGAGAAAATAGGWATGGGGGGTGGGGTTTTTTGTTTTGTTTTGTTTTTTTTAATAGCATCAAGGTCCACAAATTCCTAGCAATACTTTGACCTCYCTTTTTCTTGTTTTAGGGATGTTGAAGAAAACAAAGAATATGATTTTTCAGCAGGCCTCTTGTGACACTGCAGTCCAGACACTGCGGAGGGAAGGTCACCCCACCTGAGCATGGCCATAAAGCCCTGCGAGCTGCTCCTTCCCTGCGTGCTTAACGAACCCTTAAATTCCAGGCGGGAACCCTGGCTGATCATTAGCTTTGCGGCATATTTGGTGATGTACTTGGAAGCCCTTCTGGGAGCAGGGGAAGTTTGGCAGGCAAGCGTGGGGCAGGTGAGGGCAAAGGCAATTGCTCAGTACTTTAGCAGCACAGCAAAGCCCTGGGAGCAGGGAAAACTCGGCAAAATCGCCCTCTCTCCTAAGAGTTACTGTAACCCCAGAGCCACTGAGAAAGGGGGGTTGCCGCCTTCCTCCCGCAGGCAAAGGACCAACCTTGGAATGCTTTTTTTAAAAAGGTTTTAAGGGGTGATGTAAGAGAAATAGAGCTTGGCCAGCYAAGCACATCCCCTACTTGAGCCGAGCGCTTCTCCTGCAGCAGTGAAGCAACCCCAGCCGCGGGCTGGCTGCCCGCAGACACCTTTTAATTAATTACGAGAGGGCAGATTCCCCTTTAAGGTCTGCTCGGCTCCCCCCAGGCTGCGGCTGGGGGTTGGAGGGGGGAAAGATCTGACTTTATTTGTACATCRCGGAGCGGAGCTCGCTCTACGGGAGGGGGGAGCTCCAAAGCTCAGAGGTCTTCGGGGGGCGGACGGGAGGGAGGGAAGTTGTGCGTGTGG